TATTTTTATAAAAACTAAAAATGAAGAAACCACTACTAAACACAGAAAACACCACTAAAATCATATTGCTAAGAACCCAATATTCAGACTAGAATAGGTACTAAGGTGTCCTAAATAATGGACAAGGAACAAAAAACCACAATAAGCTTTTACGCGAAGTGTTGAAAGTGCTATTTCATAAGCTGTATATTTTAGGATAATACATTAGAATTTGTCAAAAGCATCCTAAAAATTTTATTGTTGTTTTTAATATTGAGCCTAACATTTAACATAAATAATAAATAAGGAAATGGAGTATAATACAATCTAAATAAAGTATTTATCATTGATAACGTTGTTATGAGTGAAGATACAAAGTCGGTTAAATTAGCAAACTAGTAAAAACTATACAGGGTGTTACATTTAATGGAGGACATTTTCCTGATTTTTTCGGAAACCCTACAATAAATTAATTGTTTTTCTGTTTTCACCATCTTAATTTATCCGACTTTGTATCTCTACTCATAGCAAAGTTACCAATTTAGATCAGTGAACTTCTTTGGCAACCTAGGTTGCAAAACGTTATTAAACTGAACAGCTGAACTTTCTAATTAGGCCATTCGTAATACAAATTCATATATCGGTGATAATTTGGCGAAAAGAGGTAAAATGTTAACTATTAAAACGTAAAATAAAAAAATATTTGATTCGCGTCGTTGCGATTTTTTAATAGTAATACTTCCGTAATGTTCTATTGTTCCAACTGTTTTTTTTTAATAGAAAAATATAGTTCCGCTATATTTGCAGCTCGATGTCTCCCGAACCAAGCATTTGTTTTAAAACACCCTCCTGTGATGTGATAAAATAAGGACAAAAAAATGTTTTTTCGAAAATTTCCCGTATGTCGTTGTTATGTATACGGATGATGCTTACTTTGGGTATTTCGGAGTCCGATTTCTCCTCGCAAAAACAACGGAGTTATTTATGTTGTACGAAAAGGTCAGAATTTCAAAATTGTTAATTGTTTTTATTAGCATTTATTTGGTTGCCACATAGCGCTGCGGATCTTCTCTCGAGAATGTTCTATTTATATTTTTTCGTAACCTTCGAGGCCGCCCCGTTAATTTATTCGGTAATGACGTCGGATATTTCGTTATTAAAATAAAAAAGTTCCCTATATTTGCAATACTCTATGTTTTGCTTGGGCAGATTTATTTATTAAAATATTTATTTAAATTAAAACATCAAACTGATATTTTTATTTAAAACAGTACTCTTGTAAGAACACATAGAAAAATAAAATGTAACAAAATATGAAACAGTTTTTCCTTAAAAAAACTGAAATGCGATCTCTTTACTGGGTCTTATTTTCAACCATGGAGGGTAATAATTATTTCTGTAATGGAAATTAAGTAAATAAACTACTCAGTTACAGCAGTTTGGATTTATAGAGGGGTGCTCTACCATACAAGCGATAAGTAAGGTTGTGGGAGATGTGGTGGTGGGCCTTGGGTTGACAATGTGTGACCTTAGCAAGGCGTTCGACTGTATCTCGCATGATCTTCTTAAACAGAAGCTGTTTTGGTATGGATTACGCGACGGAACCCTTAAGGCAAAGGTCTCTAGTGGGGACCCCAAGGGTCCGTACTCGGTCCTGTATTTTTGATAGTGTATGTTGCTGATCTATGCCGTTTTTTGGGCTCTGTCAAATGTGCTTTATTTGCTGACGATGCCTGTTTTACCTTATATGGTCCGAATTGGAATGACCTGGACAACATTATTGGGGAACTGGAGAGCAATGCGAAAAATAAAAATAATTATTTGAAATTGAATACGGACCAAACTCAAACAATATTCTTTTCGCTAGATAAATACAACAACGGCGAACGACAGTCAGCTAAATTACTTGGCATTACACTTGATAGTAGACTTAACTGGAAAGATCATATTTCATTTCTTAAGGGAAAACTATATTCCAGCTTATTCGTCCTTAGAAAAATTAGGGAGAGCCTAGACCATAATGCCCTAATGACAGTGTATTATTCTCTATTTCATTCCCACATGTCATAAAGCGCAATATTATGGGGAAACTCTGTCGAGGCTGTTCAAATATTTAGGATACAGAAAAGGGCTATAAGAATTCTTGCCGGGGATAAGCACAATATACACTGTACTCCATATTTTCAAAAACATAAGATAATGACACTGCCCTGTATCTATATTCTCCATAATCTTTTAGAAACTCACAAACTTACCAATATATTTGAAGGTGTGTCTCATAGTTATCCAAGACGTGCAAAAAATCTAATAAGAGTTCCAAAGCACAGACTTGTTACATCAGACAATAATTCTTTAAACATTAATTTGTACAATATGCTGCCAGATAGGTACAAACATATGGCTTTTGAGGTATTCAAAAGAAATACTAAAGTGTTGCTCATTGAAAATTGTTTCTATAGTGTGGACGAGTGTTCCATCAAAATAAAAAAACTAAATTAAAAACCTTGGGTTAGTGAAATGTGTTAGTGTTGTTGACCTTTACATTTGTTATTATTCACTACGGTTTTATTTATAAAATACTTTTTTTTACACCTTTATACTGTTTACATTTTGTTTTTGTATTTTACCTTATATTGACAGGCTAGAATTGTATTATTATTGTACAATATGTGGTTAATTCTTCCTCTTCTTCATTGTACTCCTGGCATATAACAGCTTCCGGATCATCTTCAGTGAGCCCCATCATGCATCATCATGCATCCAAAAATTACAATGGGTATGCATACGTAATATTATGGATGGCGTAGAAACTTCAGAAAATCTTTCTTTGTTCATTTTTCTATATGGAAATTTATCCCAATAACGCATCAACTCTGGCTGCTGAATAAACTTGCACTTGCACTTTTTTGGCAATGATTGCCTGTTGATGCAATGTTTGAAGCTATATTTTTCGAGAACTAATTTTTGTTTGTGTTTAATTTGGGTAACAGAACAACACATATATGGCGCCATAATACTTATAATTTTTTTTATTTTTAAATGGGTGTATGGGCCTTATTACCAGCGCAGGCTATATTGGACACAGTGACCTTATTCCTTAATGGAGCGATCCCATTAAAGACGTAAGTTTAAAAGCTAGGAAGCCGCCATGGCTCAAATATGAATTGTGAGTCAGCGATAGAGCAAAGCTTACTATCTAGTTGTTTAAAAAATTGTTAGGATGGACAATTTAAAATTGTTATTGGTTTTTATTTGTTTTCCGATGGATTTTGGTTTTGCCAATTGCGTTTTAATATTATCTAAAAAATCAAAAAATTGTAGTAGAATAAATGAAAATGTATTTGCAAGTAGAAGACCATATTTCTGCGTCATGGTAATAATTAAAATTAAGATAAGTTAATTTATGGTATTTAATGTTATTTACTTTTCCCGTGAATTTAAAATTTGGCCGTTACTTTCACCGAACCGTTGCCTTATCTACGGCAAGGAAAAAGTTCTTAATCTCAACAGAGCCCTATTGGCCAATTTTTAACAAACTTAAATCGTATCTATTATGCTTGTCTAGTCCGACATGTTCTTTGGTCTTTGTCTTTGTTATCTTTTGGATAAACTAGCATCCTCCTTTTTGTTAATATTCATGTCCAAATTACTAATTCTTCAGACGTCCTTCTGGCAAATCAAAAAATTCATTATTATTATTATTATTATTATTATTATCCTATAAAAATTAATATAATTCAGCATCATCATATTCCAAAATTGGGTAATAAAAACCCGAAACTGCTAAGCAATTGTTTTTAAATTATGTTAATTCCACACCTGCGCATCAAAAATTTTTCACACATCTGATGGAATAATAATCAATTAAATGTTTTTTATATAGGCAAAACAAATGCTTTGTGGTTCAACTTAATTGTTAAATACACTGTACCTTCTTCAGAAAGAATTTTTAAACTAACTATCACAGGGTTGATTACAGTCTGTAATAATGTGATAGTTAGTTTAGAGATTCTTTCTGAAGAAGGTACAGTGTACCGAAACAATTGTCAAAGCAATAAACATGTGTGTGGTAATCTTAAAGCAACTGTTTGTTTTTATTAAATTACTTATACAGTATTATTATTATTATATATTACAGTTTTTAACATTTATTTTGAAACAGCCTGTATAAATTTGTGGTTCACGGTATGCGATTATTATTGTTGAATCCTTTGGTAGTTCTCAAAATTAGGAACAGATTCCTCAAACATTTTTTGACAATAGTTTCAATATGAGCCTCAAAGTTTGTGAGCCAAGAACAATTCAAGAAAGTCTTTTACTTGTTTAACTCTTTTCAGCTGTTTTTTTTATCAAGCATTTAGTTAATATCTATAACATCTTTTCCTTCCTTGTAAATAGAATATATCGACATTTTTAAAAATATAAGAATAATCTCTGGTTTCGGCAAAAATCAGAAAATTTATCAAGTTCCTTCTGAAGCACTAATACACATAAAGGCGAATGAATCTCTTTTTTTACTTTTAAATCATCGCCAAAAGAAGCACGAAAAGAAACCGGGAAATAAAGGCTAATATCGAAAACAAAAATATTAAAGAGTAATTGATGTCATGGATGAATGGTAGCAAGGTTGTTGTAAGAACTGAACGTTTTTTGTGAAAATCATGTTGATTTGGAACGATGTTATTCTTTACCTGAGAAAACAACTGTTAATAAATTGGAGCCTGAAAAACCTTGGCAAAGTGACATAAGAGAGAGATAAGACGATAATCACCAGACTTTCTTGGCCACTTTCCAGCTTTTTGGAAACGTCCCTTGACCTAGACATTTATTAAACAGAATGTAAGAGGTTTCCGACAAAAGTGGACAGTTTATGAGAAATTGTGCCGGTATACCGTCCCGCCCTTAGAAGAATTTTCATCATCCATAAATGGATTTACATAAAGTGAAGCATTGAATTTTGTTCTATAAACACTTCCTTTACCATCCTACGATCATCAATAACGGACTATTCTTCGTTCCAGGGAAGGAAGTGCGATACAGAAAATGAGGTGTGCTGTCGATTATCCAGTTTTGGGACAAATTCGCGCAAACCTAGCATCGCATCCAACGTAAACGATCTGGTTTACACTGCCGGAAAATCTAGCGTTCAAGGATCGTTCCTCAAATTTGCTGGCGGCTTTGGATTATCTCCAGGGCAGATACAGGTGATTTTAAACCGAAATTTTGTCTCCTCTAACATCTGGTACTTAGGTAATATCCAATTCGGAAGAGGGAGTCAGACCAAATCCGAATTTCATTGGACAATCAGCTTCCAGCACACTGAAATCTATACGTGACATTTCGGCTTCTGCCAGCAATAACGTCTTTTCCAGTACACCTGATTATTCCAACGTACAATTCGACTCGAACGTTAGGTTCGCGTCCACACTCCAAGGACCTGCTTACCTGCCCCCTTATGGTAGATATCACCAATATATCCATTTCCAACGTCATATATATTTTCATTTTAGAGGAAAAACCGACCCCTACAACCCCGAAACCTTCATGCGGTCCAGGTTACTACGTCACACCATCCGGTCAATGCGAAAATATAAAAAAACCCTGTCCTCCCGGAAGTCGCAGCACGCCCTCTGGAGGCTGCGAATTAATTCCAAGCTCAACATGTAGACCGGACCAACGAATAGGACCATATGGACAATGTGTAGATCTTCCATCTCCACCCACTCCGTCTACTCCAAGACCCTGTGGGCCAGGACAAACCAGAGGTCCTTATGGACAGTGTTTAGATCTTCCACCTCCACCCACTCCGTCGACTCCAAAACCTTGCGAACCTGGACAAACTAGAGGCGAATATGGACAGTGTGTATATCTTCCACCTCCTCCGACTTCCAAACCTTGCGGACCTGGACAAACTAGAGGTCCCTATGGACAGTGTGGAGATCTTCCACCTCCACCCACTCCGTCGACTCCAAGACCGTGCGGACCTGGTCAAACCAGAGGTCCCTATGGACAGTGTGTAGATCTTCCACCTCCACCCACTCCGTCGACTCCAAGACCGTGCGGACCTGGTCAAACCAGAGGTCCTTATGGACAGTGTGTAGATCTTCCAACTCCACCCACTCCGTCGACTCCAAGACCGTGCGGACCTGGACAAACTAGAGGTCCTTATGGACAGTGTGTAGATCTTCCAACTCCACCCACTCCGTCGACTCCAAGACCGTGCGGACCTGGACAAACTAGAGGTCCCTATGGACAGTGTGTAGATCTTCCACCTCCACCCACTCCGTCGACTCCAAGACCGTGTGGACCTGGTCAAACCAGAGACCCCTATGGACAGTGTGTAGATCTTCCACCTCCACCCACTCCGTCGACTCCACGACCGTGCGGACCTGGTCAAACCATAGGTCCCTATGGACAGTGTGTAGATCTTTCATCTCCACCCACTCCGTCGACTCCAAGACCGTGCGGACCTGGTCAAAGGAGAGGTCCCTATGGACAGTGTGTAGATCTTCCCTCTCCTCCGACTCCAAAACCGTGCGGACCTGGTCAAACCAGAGGTGCTTATGGGCAGTGTGTAGATGTTCCACCTCCACCCACTCCGCCGACTCCAAGACCCTGCGGATCGGGACAAAAAAGAGGCCCTTACGGAGAGTGTATTGAAATTATTACTCCCACACCGACCACCAGAAGACCGTATTGTGCTGCGGGTCAAAGGCTCGGTCCGAACGGACAATGCTACGATATCTCCACCTCGAGGCCAAGAACTTGCAGTCCGGGACAACAGTTGGGTCCATACGGAGAGTGTATACCTATTAGAACTCCCCCGCCGAGACCGACATGCCCTCCGGGCTCGTTCCCAACCGCTTCAGGACGTTGCCAGCGCCCGAAAACTACACCGGCACCACCTCCAAGACCAATCTGTCCTCCTGGCAGTTTCTTGGGGCCAAACGGAAACTGCGAAAGACCGCAGCCCCCGCCAACTCCTAAGCCCTGTCCTCTCGGCACGGTAAAATCTCCGACAGGAGAGTGCATCCGCCCGGCACCAACATGTCCACCCGGAAGTTACCTCGGTCCATCCGGATCTTGCGTATTACAAACCAGACCTTCTCCACCACCCACGGCCACGACTCCGAGAGGCTATCTTCCACCCAAAATCGAAACGTATGTACCCTCGAGGCCATCCGAAACCACACCGTTCACCAGTCAACCTTCACCCGCACCATTCACTACCACACGCACACCATTTGAGTCCAGCACTCCCGGTAGACCAGTTAATACTAAACCTCCACCGAGTGGATTCACGTCCACCCTACGACCGGCGCCATCATGCGCACCCGGCCAAATACTTTCCGGTAACTCCTGCCTTTACCCCTCAAAAGCCACCAGTCCTCCTCCCTCATTCCCCACCTCCAGAGCATGTCCCTTCGGTACTAGCTTTAACGTCAATAACAACCAATGCGAGGCTGTTTACAAACCCACCCCAAAACCTCCAAAAACGTGCACCTTCGGTTATAAACTTAACCAATTTACAGGCGAATGTGAGCCACATACTCCCGCTACTCAAAAGACCACCGTGAACACCTCCCAGACGTGTAAGTACGGGCAAAAATTGAACCCCTATACGAATCGTTGTGAACAAATTTCCACCAGCACCGGTTACCCTACGACAGTCAAACCAAAACCAATTTGCTCTTTTGGCGAAAGATTAAACGTTGGTACTGGAAAATGTGAAAGAATCCCTGAACCCGTTGGTTCCACAACGACCAGGAAAACCTGCGGTTTCGGTCAAAAACTTAACTATTTCACAAATCAGTGCGAATCTATCTCTCAAACGTCACCCCTACCTAGTCGTTCGCCTGGAACCACCGGTGGGTATAAGTATTCGACCCCTTCAGTACCGTTCGAAACGCCAACCACTCAAAAACCATCCGGTTGTGGTTTTGGTAAAAGTTTTAACCCAAACACCAATCAGTGCGAGCTAATTCAGAAGGCCACGTGCCGGCCGGGCACAAAGTTGAATCCTTTTACGAAACAATGCGAAAGGGTAACCACAGTACCAATTCCAACTTCTACTACTCCAAGATCTCAACCGACTACGAGATCGTGTGCTTTCGGCTTGAGGTTCAATCCATTCACGAATAAATGCGAATCTACCAGCCCAACTACTCAAAAACCACCGGGAACTACTCGTAAACCCGAAATCACCAATGGTTACAAGTATCCAACCCCGTCAGTACCATTCGAAACACCTACAACTCAAAGACCAGCCGGTTGCGAATTTGGCAAAAGATTTAACCCGAGAACCAATGAGTGTGAATTAATTCAGAAGTCTTGCTCGTCAGAGGAAACTTTTAATCCTTTTACGAAACAGTGCGAAAAGGTTACACCTAGGCCCATTCCAAGCTCTACTACTCCGAGGGCACAGATAACTACTCAATCATGTAGTTTTGGGTCAAGATTCAATCCGTTTACAAAACAATGCGAACCGACCATTCCAAGTAGCCAGAAGCCACCAACACCAACTCGCAAACCGTCCACTACCGTCGGTTATAAGTATCCGACACCTTCAGTTCCGTTCGAAACCCCTACAACTACAAAGCCATGCTTGTTTGGCGAAACTCTTAATTCGTTCACAAACCTCTGCGAGAAAATAACACCACGGCCGACCCCCACTCGATTGCCTCAGACAACTATCAGATCTTGTGGTTTTGGGTTAAAATTGAACTCATTGACTAATCGGTGTGAACCAATTGCTCCGAATACCCAAAGACCGACCACGACTAGACCGATACCGACGGATGGCTATAAATATCCTACACCTTCAATACCCTTTGAAACCCCTACAACTTCCAAGCAACCACCCAAGTGCGGCATTGGCAGTACTTTTAACCCAAAAACAAACCGTTGTGAATTACTTGAGAGGCCAACAACAAACGGGCCCGAAAAGTGCCCGATTGGTAAACAGTTAAACGTATTCACTGGACAATGTGAAACACCGAGGACGACACCTAAATATTGTGCTTTCGGCACCAAACTGAATCCCGCTACCGGTCAATGCGAAACAACCGGAGTTCCATCTACGTCGACGCCAGCTTATCCTAGACCTACTCCGAAAAGTTGCTTGTACGGGCAAACTTTAAATCCCGTTACGAACGAATGCGAAAGTGTTTCAAGACCCACCCCACCATCGACTACTCCAAAATCATGTCCATTTGGAACCCAGTTGAATGTATTCACTGGGGAGTGTGTACGACCTATTCCCACCCCAAAGGTTTGCTCATTTGGACAACAGCTGAATGCTGCTAGTGGTGAATGCGAACCTATCAGAGTACCATCTACTTCAACACCATCCTACCCTAGACCTACTCCAAAAGGGTGTTCGTTCGGAGAAATTTTGAATCCTGTTACTAAGGAATGCGAAAGTGTTTCAAGGCCAACCCCACCATCCACTACTCCAAAGTCCTGTCCGTTTGGAACACAATTGAACGTATTTACTGGCGAGTGTGTTCGACCTACTCCCACCCCAAAGCGATGTCCGTTTGGACAACAGCTGAATCCTGCCAGTGGTGAATGCGAATCTATCAGAGTGCCATCTACTTCAACACCATCTTATCCTAGACCGACTCCAAAGAATTGCTTGTACGGAGAAATTTTGAATCCTGTTACGAATGAATGCGAAAGTGTTTCAAGACCAACCCCACCATCGACTACTCCAAAATCATGTCCATTTGGAACCCAGTTGAATGTATTCACTGGGGAGTGTGTACGACCTATTCCCACCCCAAAGGTTTGCTCATTTGGACAACAGCTGAATGCTGCTAGTGGTGAATGCGAACCTATCAGAGTACCATCTACTTCAACACCATCCTACCCTAGACCTACTCCAAAAGGGTGTTCGTTCCGAGAAATTTTGAATCCTGTTACTAAGGAATGCGAAAGTGTTTCAAGGCCAACCTCACCATCGACTACTCCAAAATCATGTCCATTTGGAACCCAGTTGAATGTATTCACTGGGGAGTGTGTACGACCTACTCCCACCCCAAAGGTTTGCTCATTTGGACAACAGCTGAATCCTGCCAGTGGCGAATGCGAACCTGCCAGAGTACCATCTACTTCAACACCATCTTATCCTAGGCCGACTCCAAAGAGTTGCTTGTACGGACAAATTTTGAATCCTGTTACGAATGAATGCGAAAGTGTTTCAAGACCAACCCCACCATCGACTACTCCAAAGTCCTGTCCATTTGGGACTCAGTTGAATGTATTCACTCGGGAGTGTGTACGACCTATTCCCACCCCAAAGGTTTGCTCATTTGGACAACAGCTGAATCCTGCCAGTGGCGAATGCGAACCTGCCAGAGTACCATCTACTTCAACACCATCTTATCCTAGGCCGACTCCAAAGAGTTGCTTGTACGGACAAATTTTGAATCCTGTTACGAATGAATGCGAAAGTGTTTCAAGACCAACCCCACCATCGACTACTCCAAAGTCCTGTCCATTTGGGACCCAGTTGAATGTATTCACTCGGGAGTGTGTACGACCTATTCCCACCCCAAAGGTTTGCTCATTTGGACAACAGCTGAATCCTGCCAGTGGCGAATGCGAACCTGCCAGAGTACCATCTACTTCAACACCATCTTATCCTAGGCCGACTCCAAAGAGTTGCTTGTACGGAAAAATTTTGAATCCTGTTACGAATGAATGCGAAAGTGTTTCAAGACCAACCCCACCATCGACTACTCCAAAATCATGTCCATTTGGAACCCAGTTGAATGTATTCACTGGGGAGTGTGTACGACCTACTCCCACCCCAAAGGTTTGCTCATTTGGACAACAGCTGAATCCTGCCAGTGGCGAATGCGAACCTGCCAGAGTACCATCTACTTCAACACCATCTTATCCTAGGCCGACTCCAAAGAGTTGCTTGTACGGAAAAATTTTGAATCCTGTTACGAATGAATGCGAAAGTGTTTCAAGACCAACCCCACCATCGACTACTCCAAAATCATGTCCATTTGGAACCCAGTTGAATGTATTCACTGGGGAGTGTGTTCGACCTATTTCCACTCCAAAGGTTTGCTCATTTGGACAACAGCTGAACACTGCTAGTGGTGAATGCGAACCTATCAGAGTACCATCTACTTCAACACCATCCTACCCTAGACCTACTCCAAAAAGGTGTTCGTTCGGAGAAATTTTGAATCCTGTTACTAAGGAATGCGAAAGTGTTTCAAGGCCAACCCCACCACCCACTACTCCAAAGTCCTGTCCGTTTGGAACACAATTGAACATATTTACTGGCGAGTGTGTTCGACCTACTCCCACCCCAAAGCGATGTCCGTTTGGACAACAGCTGAATCCTGCCAGTGGTGAATGCGAACCTGTCAGAGTACCATCTACTTCAACACCATCTTATCCTAGGCCGACTGCAAAGAGTTGCTTGTACGGACAAATTTTGAATCCTGTTACGAATGAATGCGAAAGTATTTCAAGACCAACCCCACCGTCGACTACTCCAAAGTCCTGTCCGTTTGGAACCCAGTTGAATGTATTCACTGGAGAGTGTGTTCGACCTACTCCCACTCCAAAGCGATGTCCGTTTGGACAACAGCTGAATCCTGCCAGCGGTGAATGCGAAACAATTACAGTACCAACTACTTCAACACCATCTTATCCAAGACCTACTCCAAAAAGGTGTTCGTTCGGAGAAATTTTGAATTTAGTTTCGAATGAGTGCGAAACTGTTTCAAGGCCAACCCCAGACTCAGGGTTTACGTACCCAACACCAACGGTTCCGTTCCCTACACCTACTAGAAAGCAGTGCGCACCCGGAAAAGTGTTGAATCAAAGTACTGGCCAGTGCGAAATTCGTTCCATATTAACTACTCCGGTTCCACAGAGTTGTCCTCCAGGTCAAGCTCGGTCTCCCTCAGGGTACGGTTGTGAGTACTCCCGAGTTTCAACTTCCAAACCCTGCCCCTTCGGTACTCAACTGAATCCGGTAACTGGCCAGTGCGAAACAGTTCACAAGCCGCCGTCTACTGGGTACGAATATCCTAAACCCTCTACGCCGTTCCCTACCCCTACGCGTCCACCCACTGGGCGTCCAAAGATATGCAATTACGGAGAACGATTCAACGTCAACACCGGTATCTGCGAAAGCGTCCCTCCACCATCCACTTCGAAACAACCCACGCCGACCACGCCATTTCCACGAAAGTGCGATTACGGTGAACGTCTGAATGAAATTACGGGCGAATGTGACATTGTCACATCGAGTACACCGCCTCAATGTTCTGGTGGGACCCGGTGGAATCGTTTTACCGGACAGTGCGAAAGATCTCCCACGACTGCCGTCCCTCCTTCAACCAAACCGGGATACATCTATCCCACGCCACCAAACAAAATCTGCGAATTCGGTTTCAAGTTGGACCCCGTTACCAACGAATGCAAAAGTACGCAAAAATGCCCGCGGGGCCAGATACCGAAATTATCCGGATTTGGTTGCGACTATCCCCCAGATTCCCAAATTAAACAGTGCCCCTTTGGTCGAAAGTATAACACCGCTACCGGGGAATGCGAAAAACAATACCGAAGCTCCACCCCATTACCCCCGACTACCTATAGACCGTCGACGAAAGCGTGTCCCCCGAATCAAGTCTTAACCTCTGCCGGTTGTCGACCTCCAACTACCTACAGGCCTTCACCTAGCCCACCTTCGAGTCCGGTTACCGGTTATCATTACCCACAGCCCACCGTACCCTTTGACGAAGTTCCCAGCACGCGGAAACCCGGCCGGTGTCCACCCGGGCAAAGTCCCGGTCCCTCGGGCGCTTGCCAAACACCCAGGTGTCCCCCGGGAACGACACACGGAGCATCGGGACGATGTGAGCCGTCCCCCAAATGCAAATCTGGTCAAGTCTACTCACAGATCACCAATGCATGCGAATATCCACAAACACCATCTCCACCATCCACTAACGATCAATCCGTAACGAATGGCAAAACAACTTTTAGAACTACAGCGCCGCCGTCTGGAGGGTATGTCTATCCGAAACCGACACCCCCGTTCGACACACCCGGCTATGACAGCGGCACCAACATCGAAAGCGACTACCTCAACAAAAAGCCTCCATACGAAGGGTCCGGTAAGTCCTTAATTACCGTTTTTGATTCACATTCACATAGAGTACCATCAACATTGAAATTTAAAATGGGACGCCGTGTATATCGTTACATCCTTAATGATTTTCGAGAAATTAATTATTTTCTTTATTTTTCGATCAATTACATAGTAATCTAATTTCTTAATATTATCATACAGGGCTGGTCAAAACGAACGATTTGCCTACTAGGCAAAAAAAGATGAAAGGTGCATTTTTTTAATGGAATACCCTGGATAGGTTTAGGTTTCGGCTTAATTATTTACCCACACAAACTGTATGTGTAGCAAGTTAAAAAAAAAACAGGATAATAAAACAATATATGAATAAAAGTAGAACACAGTTAAGAATCTGTAAAAGTAGAACTCTTACACAGGTTTAAGATTTGAAATCTTGTAGTCATCAGAACTGTCAAAATAGTCAAAACAATCGTTACCGAGGCCTTTTCTATTACAAAGTAATTGATTGTAAAAGTTCAAGTTTACAGAATTTCTAATTGATTTATTAGAACGCCATTAATTTTTCAAAGAAACTGCCACAGGCTGTTTCAATACTTTTTACGAGACGAAACACCAGCCGAGATGCCAGGAGTTTACAACATTTCAGGCATATGCGGCGAAGAATATATTGGAGAGACCGGACGAAAAATATCAACTAGGTTTAACAAACGCAATCACGAAACCGGACATAAAATTTTATTCGATAAAACTGAAATTCCTGCATCTTCTACCAACGAAAACTACGAGAGTTTATACAAAATCTATAGCAATCTAACAATCTTAACCGCGACTGACGTTTCACCTCTCACCAATATGAGAATCGATCATCTGAGAAGGTCATTTAGCTCCGCCACCCTCAGACAATATAAAAGCACAGAGTAAAATGCGAGCCAGTTTTAGTCAAGCTCTGAAGAAGCCAACACTATGATTGGCGAAACGTCAGCAATTTCGACTAAGCAAAAACCGATGCAGGAGGAATCCGGAAGTTTTCCAAAAAGTACGCAATTAGCTGTTGCACATTATGCGTTGCGTAGGAATGTGTGTTAGACTGAACAGAAAAGCTTGATTTCTTGGAGTGAATTTCGATTAGGGAAAGTCATAATACGAATACTGCGAAAATGTGTTCTACAGGATTCTCTACAGTCCAAACCAAGAAGAATTAGCAGAGCTTTTTTTGGCCCCATATGGTGACCCAATATTGCAATTTGGAGTGCAATTGCACTTCCCATAACTTGAGTGTTAAGAGATTGCTTAAGGGTTCTCAGTATAAACAGAGGACAATGATTTAAAAATGGAGTTATTATTAACAGACCAATTCAATCTATGGTCAGTAGTGATACCGAGAAGGCTAACGCTCGTGCCTTTCGTAACATTAACATTTGATATCAATGAGTGAATTAAATTTCAAATATTGTTTCATGATTGGTGAAACATTAGTAAGTTTTTTAAATAGTAACGTAACAATATGGTTTGCACGTACAATTATGCAACAAGTTGTGCAAAACAAATGTGAACTCCCGAAAGCTCGGCGACATGAGGACAGACAGACACAAGTAGACGATATAAAAGATACTAAAAATTGCCGCTCCTATAAACTACCTGTTTCTGTTTGCTATATCATATATACTCGTTGACTGGTGTATCTTAAATGAATTGAGTCTTAACGTAGATAAATGTGAAGTTCTCAGCTTCACTCGTAAGGAAGAAGCTATTGATTTTCAATATAGAATGTCAAATATTGTTCTCCGACGTATTACAGATACTAAAGATCTGGGCGTGCATTTCGATCAAAGACTTACATTCGCGAACCACATAACGTGCACTATACCTGAGGCTAACCGTAATTATGGTTTTACAGTACGCAACTTCAATTCTTTTACTGACATTGATGCTTTGAAGGCCCTGTATTTCAGCTATGTCCGATCTAAATTTGAATACACCTCGGTAGTGTAGAATCCGGTTAACTCTTGTCATAGTTGAGCGGTCGATGGTGCACAGAAAATAGTTTTTGAAGTATCTGTTGTTCAAAACAGAAGGCGCGTATCCACCGAGACGCATAAATTACTATTTTTACTTGGAAAAATTTAATATGAATAGCCTGGAATGGAAGAGTAGTTAGATGTTCGTGTACCACGGCTCAATTCGGGCAATAATGACACCTTTCATTGTGTTCGGGCAAGAAGAAACCTATTAAAAAATTTGCCTATAAATACAGCATGTTCCAATTGTAATTGTGTTTCGGACGTGTGTGACATATTTAACTGTGGACTTGATTGATTGATCGACTGTGGATTGAGAAATATATGTTTGATGTCTAGTCGTCGCTACCTCGAATCAAGATCTAATTTCTTCGCAGCTCACTTTGTCAATCTGCCCGAACTACTCACTGGAATAGATTAGGCTACATTATATTACATACTGTTTCTTTTTTTTTTTGTTACTATACATTGCTCTATAAATGGATTGTTTGTTGAGCAATAAAGCTATAATAATAATAATAATAATAATAATAATAATAATAATAATAATAATAATAATAATAAATATTATCATTTTATTAGTTTAACAAAGAACCTTTTGCGTTTACCAGGAATACCATATAGTGTAGGTATTACGCACATGTCGATTTTTTTCCGCTCCCTAGTGAATAATGGTCAAACAAGGGCATTCTGATAGGCGAAACCTAAATTTCAAAACCACTACGGTTTACAGGGTCGACGATAAACAACAACGTGGTCACGCCCGACCGTAATCCCGAGAACACCGAGAACACCCAGGTGATTGTATCACCACCGGCTCCAGACGGAAGTTACACCATATGCAAATTCACCGGAAACTACACCGGACCATCAAAATGTAACGGCGGAGGCTCGCCCACTCCGGGCATTCCGCCAAATCGTCCGGGTAGTACTAGGAAGCCCCCCAGTCCAGGAGAATACCAGTCTCAGTCTGAGATCGACGAGACCCTGATCCCTAATGGATGCGCCGCAGCTCTGAAATGCGTCCAGGAGATTTACTGCACTGCCGAGGGTGTAGTCAGTCCTGTGCCCGTCGTTTTGACCAGGGAACAAGAGTTGCTACGGGCACCAACCACGGTGAGTGCAAAACCGTGAATGTTGTTTTTTTGTCATTCGAAACAACCCGTGGGGAAATAAAGCAAAAACCATTAGGAAGAACTAATTTACTAAATGGTAAAAAAAATCTTTTAGTCCATTCTTTCGCATATCTGAGCTACGTGGTGTTTCTTTACTTTGGAATTTGTCTTTGATTACGAAATTGTAACTTACAACAGCTCAGTATCTTAGAATAATAATATTACAATAATAATATAAAATCTTCCGTTTTAAGCGTTTGCTTTTAAGTGACATGGACACTTCCTTTTCTTTATTTTGTTAGAAATGGCTTGAAATTGTTATTGACTCCAGCTTGCAGTTGCCATTTAAGCTGGCGTTGTACTGATTTTAAAAAAGCAATAACAAATTTTATTTGTAACAAGTAAAATATCAGTTTAGAAAACTTTTGTACATGCAATAAAATTGTCAAGAACTTGTATAAAGTTAACATTTTTCCTTTTTTATGGTATTGAGAAAAAATTAAAAAAATAAAGTAGAGAAGATATTACCAGCATTTTTCTAAATGCATTTAAAAAGGTTAATTCTCTCATTTTTTGTCATCTAATTGAATGTAGTAACAACAATAATGGAAATATGTATTTTACAACAAAGCAATACAGAAAGATACACAGAACTTTGCTAGTCTTATGCTTAGAAAAGGGGAATTGTTCAAGTTCAACTTCCAGACAATGAAAGTAATGTTCGAATTGGTAGTTGCGCATTAAATCCGATCTTTAATGAATGAATGAAAATGACAAACAAAAAAAAAACTAATAAGAAACTGCTGCCGCTACAAAGAAAAAGGTATTGTCTATAGAGACGTTTCGGGAACTCCATTGTACAACTTATAGACGTTGTAAGGGAAAACTCTTTGAATGGGGGCTAGTTTTCTAGTTAGTTGTTGTTGTTAGTATAGGGTCACAAAAATCATAGTGACTTAAAACCGATGAATCAATTAACCTCGCCTTTAATAATTCTGACAATTGTTCGTTTGCATATAACATTTCTAGTTCCAAATTTCCATCGGTTTTGAATTATTTTAATTTTTCACACAGTATGGCAAATATCGTGGTTGAAGAATTTCTAAATTGCGATTATTTATAGAACCCTAAACTTAAACTTCAGATACTCTGATCTGTTACTTATAATAAAATATAAACTTGCAAGGAGCATTAAGGCGACAGGAACATTCACTTCTCCGAAAAGATTATGGGCTAACGTGTTTTTTTTTTGCGATTCAGGTTTGCAGAGACACAGACTCGGGCATAATCGGAAAGTGCTGCAGGGATCCAAATTACGTTGATCCCTGGCCGTCCGCCAATTTGGTCGACGGGGTGGACGACGGACAATACAAGGAAGACGATTCGATCGGTCAATACAAAGGTACTAAGTAGAAGAAAGATTGACGGGCGTAGACTCGTTTTAGGATAAGCGAAATAATACTCATTATGCGAGGCACTCATTCTTAACTTAATGTGCCATTACGTTGTTATTGTTGATGTTTTTAATTTTCCGTTTAGTTGGTATTTAAAAAAATGTCCTGTATGTGTGCTGCCACGAAAGTGTTTCCTCTAAAATAATAATTGTCGCAGTAGTTATTATTGTATTGTATCTTTTTACGAGAAATTTTTTAAATAAAAATATGAACATGATTTGAGTTTTCTACCCTGCGTTACTTATCCCTTAACGAACCTGTCGCCAAATGTGATCGTGAGAAACTCAACGAAAGGACGCTAGTTTTTTTTTTAATAACAATCTATAAAATAATTACATCGCGCGTTACTGCAATGTGACGATTGACCTTGAAATGTCACAAGCGGCAATAAATATAAAGAAGACGGACAATAAATTAACAATTACTTTTTATTTACGCGCAAATTACCATAAAGTTTTTAATTAACTCCGTACTTTGATATTTCAGCTCAGTACGGAAGGGTGTCGAGGTCCAATTCGCAAACCAGGGGCCTCGAAGCAAATCGTAGGCCCAAAAGACAGACGAACGAAGATTCGACCTGCGGCAAGAGAAATTATGTAAGTGATGCTAAGTCTAGTTGAATGTTGAAAGCGAAAAACCATAAAATTGAAAACTTTGCGAGCTTCTTCGACAGAAGTCCACGGAAAGACACATTTACTGCAAAAAGTGATATTAATTTTGTGATTAAACTGGTCAAAATGGTAGTCAATCCTTATTGCAAAAAAAAAGTGATTCTAACACTGGGTTATACATTATATTTTGGACACCCACCTAGAGGTTTAATTTTGAAAGATAGAAAAAAAAGTGTAAATACAAATACTATTATCATATTCAAATGTCAGAAAAAACAAAATGACAGCAACATTATTTTTTTTTTTTTAAGGAATGCGCTACATATTATTAGCTCAAAGCGTAGATCTTTGTCTCCTGATTTCAAAAACGTATACTTTACTGGCATTTGATTCAGCCGTTTTCGAGATATTTCAGTTTAAAAATACTTATCATTCGATTTCTGTTAAGTTTGGCTTGATGTTATCTATGTTTGCATTTGTTTTAACAGTGTTCTACGTTTGACGACTAAAGATATTTCAAATGGGTTATACAGAGGAAGAAAGACGCCAAATAATAAAATTATATTATTCAAACGGAAATAATGTTGCATGGGTTAAAAAATAACATCGATAAATACACGCTTCCTTTGTCAAGTCTGCTGTTGTAGGCAAATTCTGATCTATCACCATAAAATATTGCAACTCCTCACTTGTAAACATAATTGTTGTTTGAAACTGCTTAGTGGCTCATCATCTTCCAAGTCCTGTTCGCAATCTGTCTCGGTAATAAATCCTACATGACGATAGGAGTTTTGAATTGTTTCTGCTGAAAGTTTTACTAATAAAGTTGACTGCATCTAACATATTAATGGAAAATTTCTCTTCGGACTCGATCATTTCCATTCAAATGTTTTTCCTGTATCGACTCTTAAGACTTTTTACTACGCTCTGGTCCATCGGCTGAAATTCACTTGTTTTGGCTGGAAAAAATGCCAATTCAATATTCCGCAGATCTGGAATATGGGGATGTGCATGGCAGTTATCTAACAGAAGTAATATTTTCCTCCCCTTTAATTCTGCATCCCATTTCCGTATCTCCTCTTCAAAAATTTGCGATGTCTTGTTTGCCTTGTAAGTGACCGGCAAATGCTTGATGTTCTTAAAACATCGTGGGTAAGTTGAATTTTCAATCACGACTAGCTTTCTTTTTTCTTTCCCACTCCTATTGGCAGCTACTAACACTGTTATACGTTCTTGAGAAAGTTTTCCACGCACACACTTTTCGCTTCGAAATTTAAGAGTTTTATCTGTCATCATTTTGTAACAAATACCAGTTTCCTCAGCATTTAAAATGTCGTCAGCAGAGTACTTTTCTGCTAGTTTTAGCCACGTCTTCTCCGGCCAATCGTTAGTGACGTTTCTGTCAACATCACGTGCTTCGCCACTTATCTGTCCATAATTTATGCCATATCCCTATTTGAACTTCCCCAATCATCCTTCCGAAGCCTTGAAATCGATAATGACAAGCTGCTCAGCAAACTTTTCTATTTTTAGTTTTACGATAGGTCCAGAGAGTGGTACATTTTTAAGAAGTTGCTGTTGGAGCCACTGCAACATTGCCCGATTCAAATCTTCAAATTTTGCTTTCTTAGTTTTTTACAAGAACTGCCTGCCGCTTCAGCCTGAATGATTTTTTCTTTGCACTTCTGCTCTTCCGTGGATACAGCCGACGGTGTAAATCCGTATCGACGTGCCACTCAACTTTTCTTTTCTCATCTAGAGATAAAATTTCTCGCTTACTCGCCATGCTCGCCGCATTCACTAAGTCAAATTAGAACTGATTGAAACAACGGTGTGCTTTTATACATACCGATAAAGGCATTAACATACTCGCTTATTAGGAGAAAAACACTTAGGACGACCAGGTTCTCTGTAATTAGATTATTAGGGTAAGAAATTTTGAAAAGGTAAGAGACTCAATTAATTTCAAGTCGGCCTACATTCCTTAATTTGTTACCCTATGTGCCCTTTTTTCTTTCGGTATAGAGAGTGAGAAATTCGTTATACAGAGAGGATTAATACATAGCTTTGTATGGAGACCTAATAGTACAACAAATTTTGTTCGTAATACGTTACGTTATACAGAGTTTCGATATAGGGAGTTTTCGCTGTATATTCAATTAAAAATGTAATTAAACATTTTGAGGACCGGAATAGTGTCACACGGAAGACCAGGACAATAGAAAGAAATTTTGATGAAGACCTCAATATATTACTTTACTTTCAAGGTAAATGATTATACTATTACGCAATTCCAGACTATTTATTAATCTATCTCGAAAATATATCAAGTCTAAAAACTGTACTATTTTTCAATGGTAGGAACGAATCCCATCGCAAAAGTACCAATAGTACCAGTAGTGAATTAAAAAAACGTGGACTTTGGAAAAGTTCCAGAGTAGCTCAAGGCTATAAAAATGAATGTTATACTAACAAACTTGGTACGTTCAATAAAATTTTGGGACCAAGCTTCAATTGAAATCATAATTAAAAATTACAAACATTACGTTCAAAATTGTAAATAATAAGGAAAATGATAGTTCATTGACTAATGATGTCCTCAAAAAAATCCTTTAACCTTAATTGACGTTGTCTGTATTGTTTGAATGTTTTGACATAATTATTGTAAAAAGCAATTTTACATAAATTATATTTATTTCGTATTATATTATTTAAATTATACATATTATAATCACGTGCCGGATTGTGTCTCTGGCAATAAAATGGAAAACATTAAAAATTATACATGTTTTTATCATTTATTTTTGCTCACTTTGTATTATCTTACATCCTGTAGAACACTAGTCCGTCGGGCCGTAGCCAAATAGATGCCAACTTTGCCGAAATTCCGTGGCAAGCGATGATCTTGAGGCAAAGCAACAGGAGTTTACTGTGCGGTGGGGTTATCATTAGACGAAACGCAGTACTAACTGCTGCCCATTGCGTTCAAGGGTAAAGGGTGGCGACTGTTTTCCCAACGTAACGATTCTTATCCATCAATTTTAGGTTAGAAACGTCGGACGTTCTGATTAAGGGAGGGGAATGGAAGCTGGGCATCGACGAGGAACCTTTGCCGTTCCAAATAGTGAAGGTGAGCGCCATTTTAAGGCACCCATTTTATCGAGAAGGCTCCATGGAGAACGACATGGCCGTGCTGGTTTTGGACGAGGATTTGAGATTCACGAAGAACATCGGAGAGTTGTGTTTGCCCGCACCGAATCAAATACCCACTCAAAATTGCATAGTAACTGGATGGGGCAAGAGGATACTTCAACGTGAGTGTCTACTTCCGATGATCTGGAGGTATGGTGATTCTTGATGTTGCAGTTCACGCCAGAGGCGCCATAATGCACAGGATTGAGCTGAACGTGATGGACAATCGCCAATGCAGGGAAATGTTGGGAAAGTATTTCCCGGATTCGGTGGCTCATTACAATCCCAACACATTATGTGGCTTCTCAGACGTCGATCAGTGCAGAGTGAGTATATAGCTCATACCAAGTGAACTGTTGTGTGAACTTTAAGCTTTCAATTGCATTGTGTTTAGTGTGGGTAAACCGAAATTGATGGTAGGGGATTCCCCCAACTGTTTAGTTGTTGGTTTAACAAACTTCATACGTATTAAAGAAGAAAACACATCATACCAATGATAAAACAAAAATTCGAAAAATTAGAAAATAGTGAGAGTGGAGAAAGAAAAAATAAAAAGTGAAAGCCTGCGAAATTGTATCTGTCAAAGCAAAACAGGTTTGTGCTGAAATCTATGGAAATGATAAATTTAAGGCGAGTAGAGGTTGGAGTTCTCAGGAACATCTTTCTTTGTTGCTTATAAACAATGTTCATTATTATTAAACTACTAGAATCACTGGAGTTGTCGTCAACATTAATAATAAGTGGAAGCATCTAGTATGTTTTCACTTTATACTTAAATTGTTGGTTTTTCCAATTGTTTGGATACAATTAAATTGGATCTATCATGATCATTGGGTTAGTTGGTTTCCCCTAAGAGTCCAATCAACGCCTCCGCAATATATCTCCTACATGAGTCGGCTGTTTCATCAACCACAAGATAAAACTATTTTTCACCCACTTTTTTTAATGTCATTTACAGTTTGCTTGAAAATGACATCAACACCACCTTTACATACAATGCTTTGTTAAAAATGAAATGAAATGAAAAAAAAAGTGGTATATTTTTCGCTGTTTTTTTGCGTTTCTTAAAAGAAAATTGCACGAAACGTTCCCCATTTGACATGCAATGAATTATTTATCTGCACGAATCGGTCAAGTTCAAAAAAGCAGTTTGGGTTTACATTCGTCAAAAAAAACGGATTTTAAAAAATATTTCCAACTTCTACCAAATACGTAATTCATAAAAGGATGAATCCACTTAAACTAAAAAAGGAATATATGATTCTTTTTTTGATATTAAACAATAGAGTAAAAAAAATTATATACACTTTAAAATTGTTAACGTCAGCTACCAGTAGTGCACTTGAATACGTAATATATAAAAGCCAAAATTTCCTATTATACCAAAAAAGCCATATCTTTCCCTAAATTCTGGGAAAATGTGAAAATATCGTTTATACTTAAAACAAGCAATACGAAAGAAATTGGTGGCATCCCAAGTTTGCAATATTATTTCATTATAACACATTTTGATTTTACTCGGAATATACAGATATATTTTTTTATTTGACATAGTATGTTTACAGGACGTCCAAGTACAGAAGAGAGAAAAAAAAAGACAACTCCAGTGATTATAGTTGTTTCAGTGAAAATATTCTCCATGTATTCGAACATTATATCTAATTAATAATTAATAATAATAAACAGTGTTTATAATGCAAAATTTTATATTCAACTGCTCAAATAATCCAAGAAGTATGTATATATACACATACGATCAGATAAAATCTACAGTAATAATAGGTATAACAACGTAGCCACACAACATATAAAAACAAACAGGAATAAAAATGAAAAAAAAACTTCCCAGTTCGAAGCAAATTTGTACAGGAAGTGGTGGGGTATTTTTGCGTATCTGAGTGAAGTGAAAACATATTTCTTGAGTTATGAAACAGCGGTCTCTATATCCTGCGTTGGATATAATTCTGATCGCTCTTTTTTGCATACGGAATGGAATCGATTGAGTTTCCCCTCAGTATAACAGCATATGACAAAATTGAATGAAAAAGAGCATACTAGGTCGAGACGAAATAATCCTTTCCGATTAAATTTTTCAATAATCGAAACAAAAAGTTGACACTGAAGAGGCGCTTTACTAAATAAGCAAGAATACCTATCATTCAGGACCACACCCAACAACTTCGCAGATTTTCCTTCTGAAATATTTGCATTTGTTGAAAACACTAACGAGTGAGTTCTCTCTCTCTCTCTCTCTCCTATTTTCTCCTATATTCGCGTTATAATATTATAATAATATATAATATAATACTCTACACTGTGGGTAATTCTATGAATCTATTCATACATTAAAAGAAAATGGACGACCAGGCCAGTAAAAAGCAATAAATTAAAAAAAAAATGCGTTTTGCATCTTCTGAGCTGCTTATTAATCTCTGCATCGAACATCTAGGTGGATTACGGAAGCGCTTTAGCTTGCGCAGATGATTCCGGTCGCTACACCCTTAGCGGGATATACACTTGGGACACCGGTTGCAAACAGCAAGGCCAAATTGGGGGCTACGTGGCCCCAGACGTCGAATGGATCGAATTCGTACTTAGCAAGCCCCTCGGAGAGCTTAAAAGGATGGACAGAGAGTATAACAACCGAATTCAGCGATCTACTTAAATGCCTACGTTTTATTTTTCATCTACGTGAATTTCAATCTCACTTATTTAGATTCGTAGACGTTATCTTTGTACATAGACTTATTATTTATAAACGTGACAGCTAAACGTGTGATCTTTCTAATGGTAATTCGATAATAATGCTCAACTGATTGTATATTTTCTTCATGTAAAAACGTTAATATTTTTTTTAATTACGATTTAAGTGTAAATTAAAAATATTTTAATAAACGTTATAACAAGTTTATCTACATTAATTGTGTGTCTTAAATAATCCATTCCCTAAATAAATGCGACAGAGACGATTTTTGAAAGTGGCAAGTCAGTCATGATATTATTTATTATTACTTTTTTTGGGTTTTTTTACGCTACAACAGGCCAACAATCCGCTTCTCACTATCCCTATCGAGCCTCGCTGTCCTGGACTTTTACCTTGCCTTACCCTATTATAAAACAAGATTGCTTTCGAAAAATTGTTACTGGGCGGGGCAAGTTCGTAGCGCGTAGCGCGAAGCAGCTTTTTATTTGAAAAGTAAATTGCTTCGCGGTTTCGTGTGGTAAAGGGACGCATTGTTTTTCTATCGTGCTCCTGCGGACCATTATGGAACCTTCGCAAAATCGATGTAATTTAATTGTGCATGCACCCTGTTTAAAATGTCCTTCAAATCTCGTCGAACCTCAAAGTTACAGCAAATATCTGTAAATATCAAAATTTGCACAAATAATAGCGTTATCGAATGATATTTTTTCAAATATCTCTCGCCCTATATAATTGATGGAACCTGAAACTCTCACGACACGGTTTACTATACTGTTCAAATAAAACTATCCCATCTTTCCCGCTTTTTCATTTATCGCCAATAATTTAGCCACAAAAACGGAAATTTTTAGTATATTTTAAATTTTTTGCCCATAAACGACACACCTTGTATATGATACAATCATTGTTCGAAGTAGAGGTTATTTCCCTGGATTTTCCACACGTTCTGGTTCAAGAATTTTTTGAAAATAGTAAATGGTTTTCGAGAAAATAAGTTTTTTCTGAAACCATGACATCATGGCGTCTTAGCCCCCGAAATGATTTCAATATGGATTTTTTCAAATATCCCGGGCAGCGTATGTGATGACGAAAACCGCAAATACAAAAATTGTAGCTCTTGATGCGGCCTATGACCCCGTTTGAGCCAATTAGGTATATTTTTAACGATTTTTGACTTCCGGGAATAATTTAAAACAATTTTCTAGGTCTTTTTGATTTTTGCCTATAATTTGAAAACCCTGCATATAATCGAAAAAATGCCCGAAATACATATGATTGCACTGGATCTTCTGCGTCTGCCGGTTAAAGAATTTTGTCAATCGTATGAATGATTATGGAGGAAAACATATTTTTCTGGAAGCAAAAATTACCAAAAGAAAAAAAAAATGAAACATTTTTAAAAAATACTTGGTAAAATTTGATTGCGCTCAATTTCTACCGTTTAAGTGTGGACACGAACTTTTACTTCTCTGCTAAATTTTAAGTTGATATCTGCAAATTTAGGACACTTAACACATTTCTCATTTAGAATGTCGGGAACACCCTGTACAATAGGTGAAAACCTTAAACACAAAAGTTTTTCCTATCTATGCGGCCTATATCGCAATATAAAAGAAAGTGAGATCTGAATCATAATCTTTCAGTTATAACCAATTTTCAATAATAGGGGGATCCATTTTTTTTTTGCGGCGCACCCTGTATATTTTTGAAAAAAATTGACACGAATAAAAGTTTATAGAGCAGTATCTTCTGGTTCTTCTGGTTCAAGAATTTTTTTGGTCTCGTAAACAGTTTTTGAAAAATGATGTTTTTTGTAGACCCTTACACGCGCTATTTTTTATTTTTTTAGAATAGTTCCCAATCCCCCAGCCCCCAATTTTCAATAGGTTCCGTCACGGGACAAACTTAAAATTTCGGACACTTATCGTGCTTCATAGCAAGGTCCAAAAAACAGTCGAAAATCGCGAAATAAAGATGGATACCGGCATCGGATCAGGACCATTTCTTATAAGCTTATGTGCCTCGTGGAAGGTTAAAAGAGGCAAATTTCAATTTTATAGCTCCAACGGTTCGAAAGTTATTCAGCAAAAAACCAAAGGACGAGAACGGAGAACGGACAAACGGAAAAAAAAAATTTTTTCTGTTTGTGATAATTTCTGTTACGGCGATCCCATAGGGCCTACCGTTACCGAGATATAAAATTTTTATACGAGCGCAGATACTTTCGAAAATTCGATTTCATCGATTTTCGAAAGTAACAAGAGTTGCTGGATAGTTTAATAGTTAGATTATATTGAATTTAATGGTCAAGTTTATATTGCTAAAGAAGAATTAATTGTGGGAAAACCACTTAGTCCACTACTTGCAGCTATTTTCATGGACAATTTAAAAAATATCATACATAAACATCCTCTGAGTAATTGATTTCTCTGGTGGTATGGACACGTAGATGATGTTTTTGCTTACTTCACTTGAACGGAAAAACAACTGCAGTCCTTTTTGAATCATATTAATTCCATACATAACCGTTTAAAATTTACCATAGAGACGGAACTCTCTATACTTTCTGGACTTAACTATAACTAAACAACATAATACATAACTCAAATCACCCTTATACACAAAATGGCTGCCTTTTATGCTTTTACACACAGAATACTTAATATACCACTTTCCATAGAATATTTTGAAAAAGAATTAAATATTAGAAAACAAATAGCTTTTAACGACAATGGTTACGATAGATAACTAAAAAGCAATTTCAAATAACTCAAATATAAGAACATCTATCATGGTGTTAATATTGGTTTTAAAACTGAAAACACTATAGGACGCTTTTTAAAAAACAATACAACTAAATTACGAAAAACTCGAAAATCCGGAATCTATAAGTTGAAATGTCCCAAAATTTATATCGGACAACAGCTGTAATTAATTATTAAAAACTATGAAAATCTTAAAGTTTTTTGTTCCAATTTAATTGTGTCATAGCACAAGGACAAATTCCTGCCTAGCATACGGTGGAGACGCATTTTGAACACTTATAAAGACCTCCGATTTCCCTTTGATCCTAACAACGCAGTTACGTCGAATGTCCAGATATGAGTGCCTCAGGTTTCTATTCTGGGACTGTTTTTCTTTAGTATCTACATAAATAGCATTTTTAAACATCTTTATTCTGATTGTATGGCCGTAAAGAAGTGAAATACGTCTAAAACAAATTACATCGGGTTCGATAACTCTCAACAAAAAAACGAACGTTGCTTAAATATAAGAGTTGCTGATGAAGGACTCCTAACGGATGATATCACAAAGTTTCTTGGCTTTGCAGTAGACCAACAACAACTTGGAAAAATTGCTGTGATAATTTGTCTTCAAAAACCAACCAACCAAACCAAAAACAAAAACCTCTTTCCCAACAAACAGTAGTAGATATCTCCAGCATGCTGCGCCTGAGACAGAAGTTGCCAGATAAAACCGATTTTAGCACCAACAAAATTATGGGTTCCATAAACCCCATATAAAAGAATAATACTTAAACTATATAATCTAGATCTAAATCGGGTTATTATAAATAGCTAAAGTGTAGGGTAACTTTTGCTCCAACATCAACTTTGTTATTTTGAATGGAACATGTATATTTTTAGCTCGCTAAACAATTTTAAACCACTTTTGTCTGACATACTTCATATGAATGAATAAATGCATTTTGTTTTTAAATAGTGTCAAAGTTCGTTTTCGATGTCTTATTCAATTGCGTTTTGAATCACATGCAAATAACAGTAATTTTTTTTTTATAAAAGACGTTTAGAATTGGTCTAAAAATGAAGAGTATACAGGGCGTTCCATTTAAAATCTCACAGTTGCCGTAATTTCATTGACATCGACATTCCATTCTCATTTTGATTTTTATTTATATATATATATATATATATATATATATATATATATATATATATATATATATATATATATATATATATATATATATATATATATATATGCATTATAAATTCAAACGTTTTATAACAGGACAAGAAAGCAACGGTATATGTTCCTAATATCACCTATTTTTTTAAAACGCATCACATAAATCACAAACCAACAAAATTTTAATCAATTTCCAATTTTCGGAAACTTCCTTCGAGTCCCAGCTCGTCTCTGAAATAAAACGATCGTTCCACTTTTTTCGGGATTCCCGTGATTTTTACATTTTCCTGCGCTTCGAGCCAGTCCGCATTATCGGCCAAAAAGTCGTAGCAGTCCGACGCGATCGATCTCACACTTTTCAGATTACCCCCGTAATCGCACGGTGTGACGTCAGCCCCGAGAATGCCCAATAGGTCTTTCGGGTCCTTGTGCACGAATACCTGGAATTAAATTTTAATTTTTCTAAAGTGGGAAATAGACCGAGCAAACATTTGCACTTTGGCTGTTGGAAAAACTCTTTCGAACATTTCGTGAACATCTACAGGGTGTCGGTTTGTCCTGGACAGAATTAACGGAGTTGCAGGTGTAAACTTTATATACGTATATACAGATTGGTTATTGATAGATTTCATAACACTAGGTATACCCACCTAACAATATTAATTGTATGAGAGGTTATTAAAATTATTGTTCTATTGAATAAAATGATTCTTTCATTAAATATTTTTCCATTACTTCTTTCAACTTTTTTGACGGCAAAACGTTCAGAACAACCAGCAAAACAATATAATTTATGATGGGCATATATGTATTTTCTCTGTTACGTTAAGTGAAGATGTGTGTTTTGATGATAATTAATATAGCGGCAACGCCCGCAACTTGCACAAAATCAACACCGGGACCGCAGCATTCTCAGTCATTTATACCGATCAAGAAGAGTAGCGGACACAGCACCGAACCCTGTGGCGCACTATACTCAATATTTTCTAATTGAGAAGTAAATTATATATTCACCTATATATATATATATATATATATATATATATATATATATATATATATATATATATATATATATATATATATATATATATATATATATATATATATATATATATATATATATATATATATATATATATATATATATATATATTTCCTATTACCTTAATAGGATAGTAATAACTGCTGACTGTTATTATGGAAGTTATATAGAGTTAGTTTGTGTATAATTAAGTTTCTAAAACCAAATTGTGCTGTACGAAAAATATTGTTATTCTCTTTTTTAAGACTTGTTCTTAAATCATTGAGAAGATTGCTACTATTGAAATTCGTCCAAAATTGTTGACCTCAGTTGTTGGGCCCTTTTTATATACTTTATCGCGGGGTATTTAGTGTACTTTGAAGAAAGAAAATTAAATAACGAAATAAATAAGAACTGAAAGATCAGATTTTCACGAAATTATATATATTCACATGACAATTGTTTCGACAGCACCGTGCCTTTATCAAAAGTAATATTTACAAACTACCTCCTACTATATATACCGAAAAATGGCAATAAAACCTCAGTTAATATTGTTGTGTGAAAATAAGTTTAATAATAGAGAGATATTTAAATCAATTGATCGTTAATCTCCATGGCTTCCAATAAATTTAATTTTCTACTTTTTGTGGCTGTTTGAAAAACATAAAAATGGTCGTCAGAAATGTGTTTATCTGTATTTAAGTGTGTAGCATAATTATACGCACAAAAACACAAAAAGTAGAAAATTGAATTTATTGGAAGCCATGGAGATTAACAAAGTGATCAATTAGATTTAAATACCTCTCCATTATTAAACCTAAATCCTCACAACATTAATTAAGGTTTTAATGTCATTTTTCGGTATATATAGGCGCAGATAGTTTGTGAATATTACATTTGATAAAGACACGATGTTATCGAAACAATTGTCATGTTAAAATATATAATTCCGTGAAAATCTGAACTTTTATTTCTTATTTATTTTGTTGAATGGATTTTCATCAAGTTGAATTTCTTATATATATCCTTTAATTTCTCTAAAGTAAATCTCCAAGTATGAAGTCTGTGTGATTCCATTGCTACTAGCGTTTTGTCTATTTTGCGGTACTTACATTTCATTGTATTGGTTTCATCTTCTTCTAACATTTTTTTTTCAGTTTATCCAGGGAAGAACAACCTCGCTTTGACAAAGACATTATATTTTCCTTCTTATTAGATCCTGATAACCATTGTGCCACAAGTGGTCAACACTTAAGAAATATATCAGAAAGAAAAACTTTATTTGCACTACTTAACCAAATATATAAAACTTAACCTCTGCGACACTTATCCCATGTGGTATATGGACGATCTATCTTAAATTCAAAACTTATCAATTGTCATAGGAATGCCAGCAATCATAACCTATTTAGTGTCTAAAAAATATGCCACAGTTACTGTTAAAAATGAGCTAAAATACTGTAATAGAGACTATGTACTCAAAGCCACTTATTATTTAATTTTTGATGGGCGCTTTCGCACGTTTTATAAATAAAAATCTATAAATCCTTGTAATATACGAAAGGCACTCACGGAGTTTCTGACTTTGTGATGCATGATGGGTTTGATAAGAGCCAAGACCCTACCGATCATCGGTGGAGCGTTTATAACATGTATCTGCTTGACGCGTATGGCGTAAGCGTTCCTTAGCAAAGTATCCAGTGTCCTGAACACGGGGCCAGTGAATTTTGTCAAATGTGCAGCCCCAAACTTCTTAGCGTCGAAAACAGCCACATCGCCGCATGCCGGATAACACCTCAATATAATCACCTCATCTGGAAGATATATTAATTTACGCTCAGCTCGCTAAGTATTACAGGGTGTCAATGAAATTACTAAGCAACTGGTAAAGTAATGAAATAAATTTTAAATTTAGAGGTTTTTTATCGATTCAATATCAGCTTTCCAATTTATAATGTGCCATTTGTCATTTGTCAACAAAAACATCTTTTTCTACTCTCGTCTGTAAAATACCTAATTACACACCGATCTATCGTGCGGGAAGCATCACTTTGCCACATCAGTTTCGTTTATCGCGGATCCGAGCCACTTCGGACATTTCCGGGATTTTTCCGCACGGATTTGGGAGCAATCGGATGTTTTCGGAGATATTTCAAACGCTTTGAATTTTGACGTTTGTCAATTCTGACGGTCATGTCAGTGAAGGTATTCGTGTTTTGCGAAAATGTACCCAAAAACTAACGGTCATATAAAAAGTACAGTATGCAACACGTTAGGTAAACTTTTTAACTCACTCGTTTATTAAAAACTCGCTCCGCTCGTGTCAAATAAACTCATGAGTCAATCGCCGTTTACCGCACTTGTTGCATAATATAATATTAAGCCAAAAATTGACATACATGAGTATTTTTTATCCAAAACTATTTGATAAAAGTGAAAAAGGATATAATTTCCTTCTTAGTAGTTCTCCGCATTAACTTCCAATGTAAACCCCTCTTAAAGTAACATTTTTATTATTCTGCGTTCGTCTCAACAATTTCTATAATAAATCGTTTTAATATATATAGATTTAAATTTAAAAGTCACGAAAGTGCGTATAACAGTGTTAGTAGCTACCAATATGAGTGGGAGAGAAAAAAGAAAGCTAGTCGTGATTGGAAAGTCAACTAACTCACGATGTTTGAAGAACATCAAGCATTTGCCGGTCACTTACAAGGCAAACAAGTCTGCATGGATGACATCGCAAATTTTTAAAGAGGAGATAAGGAAATGGGATGCAGAATTAAAGGGGAGAAAAATATTACTTCTCTTAGATAACTACCTTGCACATCCGCATATTCCAAATCTACGGAATATTGAATTGGCATTTCTTCCAGCCAAAACAACAAGTGTATTACAGCCGATGGACCAGAGCGTAACAAAAAGTCTTAAGAGTCGATACAGGAAAAACATTTTAATGGAAATGATCGTGTTCGAAGACAAATTTCCCAGCTAGCCAACTTTATTAGTAAAGCTTGGAAAGAGGTGACAGCAGAAACAATTGAACAGATTGCGAAAAGGACTTGCAAAATGATCAGCAACTAAGCTAGTGGATAAAGCAGTTTCAAACAACAATTACGTTTACAAGTGAGGAGTTGCAAGATTTTATGGTGATAGACCAGGATTTGCCTACAACAGCAGACTTGACAGAGGAAGCCATAATACAACAAGCAAGAAAGGATGAGGAAGAGCACCAAGAGGAAGAAAAAGATGAAGGAGTTGATCTGTAACCACCAACAAACATTCAGTTAAGCTGCTAGAGAAATTTTTCAGGTATTATGGGGAAGATGCCCCTCTGGAAGAATTGGTGAAAATACAAGCCAAAATACGATATGCGTATTGGCATACTAAAAAAATTCAAACGAAAATGACCGATTATTTGAAATTGAAATTGAAATTAAATATTACAGAACACGTATGTGTATTGCTATTTTTCAAGTGTCTATAAACTTTTTTAAAGAAAAAAAAGCAAAAATAGAAAAAAAATTCTCAAGCTCTGAGAGATACATACGTTATTTTAGGAAAGAATATCTTATAACACCTTGTATAATGTAGCTGCACAATGACACTCAATTAATTTTATATTAACATTGCAACTGATTGAACATTTAAAGCGTTTGCGGACACTTACATAGCATGAAGAATAACTTGATCTGCGAGAGCATGTGAAACTCGGAAGGGTCGCACCTCTCGAGTTTGAAAAATGCAACCCTGCAACCGTCGTCTGTCAGTTTGGGTACGTACATCATGTTGCTGGAAGTTAAAATAGTACTTCGACTGTCATAATATGGCACACATTAACTCACACCACATCCATAGCTTGGATGATGTCTTTGGTGAAAGGTGACCTGTTGGCGTAGACCTCGGGAAATAAATATCGTGCTGAAAGATGGTGCTCTATTTTCCGTTTAGCTTTGACCAAGTGGTGTTTGCTGCCTCGAAGGAAGGCCCTTAGGAAGGCTTTATCTAGGGACACACATAGAAGTTCGTTAGCATCACTTCCATTGTGGCTCTTAAGGGTCTAATAATAATTTAACTCTAGAGTAAAGTTCATTATTTCGAAAGCAACAAATAATATTAAATCAGTACAAAATAAAGTAATTTAAATTAAATTTAAATTAAACAAGCGGAAATTATAAAGACTTATGTAAATATTAGATACGTCTCGTTTAACTGTATTGCCAATTATAATAAAAATGTATGTATTTATTTTGGAGAAATTATAAAAAAATATTTTTTTTTCAAGTATATTTTTTGTTTAATGCTCCATTGCCTTGAAACTCTTGAAAACTCTGCTTGCATCAGTTTTGTTCATTTCAGATTTCAGGAGTCATATTTATATATACCTATGTTTTTCGGGAAATGCTTCTGTGACTCGATCCATTCGTAGAGCAATTTCTCATTGTGGAGCAACTTGTCCTCGCTGGTTTCGTTTATAGTGAGAGCTATGTTGTACGTCTGCGAATCGGTTGGAGGTTCTAGCAAAGACCCAACGGATTTCTTGCACTGCTGCAAACGTAAACTACAAACTTCTCAACTTCACAGAAAAGTTCCGCAAGGCTACCATTTTGAATAAGTTTTACGCTTTTGTAAAATTTTCATTTTTCATGACTTTTTCTACCAATTAGCAAATTGATTGTTTTTTCTTGTTTTAGCAACTAAGTTTTTCACAATATTTATATATAAATTTATCAAAACCCCGTACATGAGGATGTGTTGTCAGCAAATATCTCAGTTTTAGTATGGGACGCAAATTTTTAAATCAAACGCTTATAATTGTACTGTATTTCTTGGAAAATGTATAATGGTTAAAAACAATCAACTTGAACTAGCTATGTGATTGTTGTGACAGTGACAGTATTAATTACCTCAGAAAGATGTCTAGTACATTTTAAGAATTTAAGGTAAGTATTTTCTGTTAGAGTAAAAAACGAAATTTCCAAGAACAACAAAAAACCCCGAAAGTGGACATGGGTAAGTGAAAAAAGTATGGAGACCTATTAGGACGGAAGCATAAACACCGCCTCGGATGATTGATTCCCATATTGGTGACAGGTAGAGACCTGAGTCGCGGTTGAGATTGTTAGGTTGCTCATGGATTTTTATAGACTCTCGGATTTTTCGTTGGTAGAAGAATTGATTACATGCAGGAATTTTAGTATTATCGTGATTGTGTTCGGCAACTGCTGACGGGTTTATTTGTCTCAGTCTTAAAGATAAAGATAAAGATAGTTTTATTTCCATAAGACTTGATTTACAAGTGTTGGATATTGTCAGTAGAATATGAATGTAAAAACATAAAATTATATTAGTATAATTAATTAATTAATAATAATAATAATAAGTAATAATGTTAGATAAATAACAAATATATAAAAAATAACAAACAACGAATACGTCTTAAAAGATATCAAAAAAAAAAAATCCTTAATATTGTAATAGGCGAGGCGTAGCAATTTGAATTTTGTTTGACTAGTTATCTTCTTCGGTTCGATAGGCAATTTATTATAAATTTTTACAGTCAAAACAAAGGGACTATTTGCTGTAGGAGACAGTCGATGTGTAGGTATTTTTATGATGTTAAGATTAAGAAGTATCAAAAATTAGTGTTGTGTAAATAGGTCCCGACATGAAAAATTCCAGGGCTCAAACAGTATAGTCCGTAAAATGCGTTTCTGCATCCTAAAGACTTGGTCCGCACGTGAGCAACCTCCCCAACAAACCAAGGCGTAGTTGAGACAGGAATGGACATACGAAAAATAGTACATTTTCAACAAGGGGAGAGAAACCTAATTGCCGAACCTCCATATGACAAAGCAGTAAACAGAAAGTTTTTTGCACCTGTTCAAAGCAGGAGAGTGTCGAGTCTACACAAACCCGAGGAATTTTACAACACTTTTCTGTTGGATTGCGTACTAATAAACTCTTATTTAAATCCCGTTTTTAAAAGGCGATCATCTTAGTTTTACTTTCATTCAATATCAATTTGTTAATTTCTGCATAATCTTTCAGTTGCTCAACATTTGTCTTGGTTGCACTGCTAAGTTGCTCAGACGATGCTGCAGAAACGGTAGAAACTGTATCATCCCCAAAAAGGGAAAAACAAGTATGAGGGAAAGATGAAAACACATCATTTATAAACACTATAAACAATAACGGACCGAATAAGCTTCCCTGAGGTACACCACAATTCACTGAATCAGAGACGCTGCGTACGACCCCCCAGAAAAGACCTTAACCAACTTAAGGCGTTACCTCTAATACCATATAAACAAAGCTTGTCCACTAAAATATCGACATCGACCAAGGCAAATGCTCTTTGTCGAACAAAACACATGCTGTCTGCTGCCTTTCTTCTAACTTGGTAAGAATATGCTTATATAAAGGGAGCATGGTCTTAAAGGTTCTTGCAGGTTCTTTGAGACTAGTTGATATTTTTCGTCCGGTCTCTCCAATGTATTCTTTGCCGGATATGCACTTCCATGCTGTAAACTCCCGGCATCTCAAATAGAATTTTGCTTTTGACGGATCGAAGATTTTTGGGCAAATGATAAATCTGATTTTGATGTTATATTTCTTAAGAACTTTTCATATGTGGTCAGTGATGTTTCGAACATAATAAAGGACAACAGTAGCAAGTGTGGGATTGCGTTCGGCCTCATTAGTGTTGGAAGGCTGTGGTGAAGTGTATTTTGTGATGTAACGCTTAATATCGCCAATTATCCTGTTGGCTGCTTCAGAACTTAACTGAAACTGGCTTGAACACAATCACGAAACCCGTCAGAAAATTTTATTCAGTGAAACTAAAATTCTTGCATGTAATCAATTCTTTTACCATCGGAAAATCCGAAATCTATAAGCAACCTAACAATCTTCACCTATCAATAATACGGGATTCAGTCGTCCGTCATTTCCATAATTATAATTTTTGGCATAGGTGTATGTAAACAAATCAGCACTTGGTATAAATAAGTTCATTAGCAATTAATTTTATTAATGGCAATTGCGCAGTATGTTTGCTTATTTAATGCCAAGGAATGCGTAATTAGATGGTAAACGAGGAGTAAAAAAACATAAAAGCTATAATTTTAAAAAATTACCCGGCAATCTGCACTTTGTGTCCCTATTTACTCCAGACCAACGATTGATTACTGTGCGAGTTGGGATGATTGATTATCGTTATTACTTTTTAGGCTAATTAAAAACGAAAAACATAAATTAAAGAGAATTTCTCACGTCTTAAACGTTCTCCATTATGTACTGCTCTGGTTTATTAGTTATTTTAGCCACCTTGTATCTTATCGGGCTTGCTTCAAATTGAACGGAGGTGTCGCCGGAAGAATAACAATTTTTACTCTTAATTAATATTTGGCACATCGCGCGATTTAACCTCAAATCGTTGCTGTAAACACCGCGGTAACCTCCGCAATCGCAACAGGTAAATTTAGGATATCTACAATCTACGTTACTCAAGTCTAGACTTGTTAAAATTAGAAGAAGATTAAGAAGACGTTTAATACCAGATATAAAAAAAAGTTGACAGTTGCAAAGAATTTTTTATTTTCTATGATTCGACAGCTGCCATTAGATATTGAATAAAACACATATAACAGAAATTTTTTTTTTCAAATTCGCGTTTCAGCTTAACTTAGATAGTATTAAAAACTTCATTTTTTGTAGTGTGAAATGTCGTTTGAATTGTAAAAATATTATATATCTTAGAAAAAATCGAATTTAATTAGGTCTCTGTTAAAGAAAATACTAAGTTTTCTTCTTATGTCAAAAATGACAAATGACAAAAAAATACGTTGTGATATGTCAAATATATAATAAAATATTTTGCAAAGAATTAGCAACTTTAACTTTAACAACTAGAAGCTAATTTTTATCACTCAGCGTACCAGGACTATTTAAAAAATAACAATTGCCGCGTTTTACAAAACAAAAAAAAAACTTATGCCGTGCAATTTTTGGAATTTCCCCATATACGGGACAAACATGGTTCTTTTAAAACAATCTTTTACGTTGTGAAATTTTAATAAATTACAGGAAGAAAAAAATTGTTTTTGGTATTTAATTTACGATTTACTGACCCATAAGCCCACCAGATGCATTCCTTTAAGTCGTAGTTCTGGATTTTTATATCTTAGGTGTGAAAATAAAATTGCAATCAAAAATAGACTAAGACTTACTCGTTAGTAGAAGTACTCACCATTTTGACACGTGAACGAAATGCAAGCACTCAACCGCACTGTATATGAAAAAACTGACCGGCTAGCTCCTTAGACCAGAAGTAAATCTACTTCCTGAAAGCCTCGCAAGAATAGCGTCAAATCTAAATAGGACTGGCCTTTATAAACAAACAGCAAAACACGGTCGGTCACCTTGACTGCTGTCGCATACACAGTGTGGTGCACTTGACTACAGGGCGATTCAAAACAAATGTCTCGTTGTTGCTCTTAGAAATATAAACTTTCAAATGTCAAAATAAACCCTTTATATATAGATAGGACAATAAAATTCTCCTGAAGAATTACAAAAAAACATTTTAGAGTGCAACATATTTTGGAAAAATATTTATTAACTAATTAGAACTCTTTTTATTGATCTATTAAATGATCGGGCAACATTAAATCAAACGATAATTATTTTGTCTTAAATATCCTAGAAAAGTTGCAGGAGATAAATGAAACATCTGTTTTAAAAGTCGCCCCTTAAAATATAATTTCTTATTAAATAAAAATGTTATAAATTATTAGTAACAATTTTTTTTTCTTAAAAACCTTGCTATATTTAAAAGCGAACACTTCTAAATTTACAATAAGATAATAAATTTAGCTCTTTTAAATGCGAGAAATTTATTAATTATTAAGTTTTTCATGTTTGTTATTTTTTGTATAACTATTTTTTGGTTTTGTTGTCAATTTTAAGGAGGTATTAAGCGATACATTATTTTTGCAGAACGACGAGCTCTTTTAAAATATTAAATAATAAAACGGAGGTTTGTTAACAAAAAAAATGAAGTTGTTGATGGTGGGCACACAATCCCGAAAAGTCCAATAACGCCAACCCATATGACAGATAAAGTTATAAGTGTGTTTCTGTTTTCAATTTTTTTTTTATTATTCATACATTTCATTCGAGAAATATGCAAAATAGTTAATGTTTTGATCACTAAAGATAGGTATCGGCAACTAATTTATAAAATTAATCACACATTCGGAAAATTAAAGTTGTCCGTCCTTTTCGATATAAACGCAACAATGCGACACTGAGAGTAAAAAATCTAACCAAAATGCGTTTCATATTTATTATTTCTGACATATATTTTTTTACGAGACACCCTGTATATTTATTCGCGTGATTCGGGATTAGTTTTAGATGGAATTTGTCGCGAGCTTTCTTATCAAAGGATAATTGGATATTAAAAAGATATATTTCAGATAAGCATTTTTCAATGAAGATGAGAAAGTTTGGTTTCAGATTTTAGAATTTTATTTATTTGAAATAGCGTTAGCAGATTCAGTAACAATGGTTTTAACATGCTGATGCCAAAACTGGCAGAGAAAAAGGAATACAAAATTCCCGTGTCGTCTTATTCACACAGGTGAAAGTCTACGCACCATCTGGGGAAATAAAGTCTTGATGAACTCACGTGTAACAGACAAAATCAAATTTGCAATCGTAATAGCTGCATACGCTGCCCATACATAACAAATTTTCTCAATTGCGCACTTTTGGAAAAATTCCGCGGAAAATTAAATGTCACTGATTAAAATTAATAAGCGATTTTACTGATTACAGATGATTGTGTACAATTACAAGCTACGTCAAAAGGGGAACCCTATGGTCTCTGTTTTGCATAGTGCCGTCCGTCTGACACGATAACAATTTTGACATGATTTATGATAGGAAAAATGGTATGGCGAGATTGTCAAAGAAATAATATTACGCGTTCGTCTCAAAATTGCCAGGTAAGGAAAAATAGGACGGGTTCTAAATTTCGTCTCGAAATTGCCAGGTGACTAAATTTTCGTATAGTAAAAACAAAAAGGGAAATATGGTAGTAAACTGTAAATAACATTAAAAAAAAGTGGATTGAAAATCCAATGATTACGTTGGTTAGATTTGTTAAAGAAACATTAATCACCTTTTTTTCGCCCAACAGCGTTCCGACAGAAAAATTCATACTCCTTTTATCCGATGATCTTGTGCATTCTTACAGACTCATTTTAAAATTTCCAAGATTAGGATTTTAGGCAGAGATTCATCATTTTAACATCGTTTAATGCTATTAGAAAACATCTCAAAAAAATTAACTTAATAAATATAAATGCAAGAACAAAAACTTAACTGAATATGACAAAAACAATTTATTAAAGAAGAGATAACAAGAAAAATTACATGTAAGATTTTCTTATTATCAATATCAAATTTAAAGTAATAGTGGGTGTTTTTTTGATGTATATAACTTTAAGTTGGCATTACTGTTCAAGATGGCGACCGATTTAACAGCTGTCATTCTCAGTTTGGTTTGGCAATCCATCATGAATAGACTCATGCCTGAACAACGCTTGCAAATAGTGCAATTTTATTTCGAAAATAATAGTTCGGTGCGCAATACGTATCGCGCACTAAGTCCATTTTATCGTCGACAAAATCGTCCATCAGAGCAGTTAATTCGATTAACCATGGAACGTTTTCGAACCACGTTTACTTTTATTGATTACTCGCATCTCCAGAGACGCCGTACGGTGCGTACAGAATAAGCTATTGCTGCTGTAGAGCGTAGCATTGAGGAAGACCCGAATGAGTTAATCCGCCATCGAGCACAGGAATTGGATCTGTGTTCATCCACTTTATGGAAGATTTTGCGGAAGGATCTTGGTTTACGTGCTTACAAAATCCAACTCGTGCAAGAATTGAAGCCAAAACGAGATTGCCGTTGTTCCCGATTTTCATAAGCGAATTTTGTTTAGCGATAAAGCGCACTTCTGGTTGAATGGCTACGTCAACAAACAAAACTGCCGCATTTGGAGCGAAGCTAATCCTCAAGTGTATGTCGAAACATCGTTACATCCAGAACAACTGACTGTTTGGTACGCTTTATGGGCTGGTGGAATCATTGGTCCGTAGTTCTTCAAAAACGACGATGGCCAGAACGTTACAGTCAATGGTGATCGGTATAGAGCTATGATTACTAACTATTTCATTCCTGAATTGGATAACCATGATGTCCAGAAGATATGGTTTCAACAAGACGGCGCAACATTGAAAGACACGTTTGGTGACCGCCTCATTTTACGTTTTGGACCTGTCAATTGGCCTCCAAGATCTTGCGATTTAACACCGCTAGACTACTTTCTGTGGAACTATGTAAAGTCATTGGTCTATGCGGATAAGCCACAAACGCTTGACCATTTGGAAGACAAGATTCGCCGTGTTATTGCCGATATACAGCCACAAATGGTGGAAAAAGTCATCGAAAATTGGACGACCAGATTGGACTACATCCGCGCCAGCCGTGACGGTCATATGCCACAAATCATATTTAAAATGTAATGCCACAAGATTATCTTTCGGATAAATAAATTTCATGTGAATCGAATAATCCATCGTTGTTTTATTGCAACTTAAAGTTCCATACATCGAAAAAAAACAACCCTTGCATATGTTTAAAATTTTTATATTATGTAGGTTGGACTTTGTATTTTATAAAAATTATGTAGCAATTCCTGTAAACATGTATTAATGTGACTTTCTGCAATATGTGGCGGAATTTTCATTTGTCTTCTACAGAAAAAGCATAGCATTATTATTATTATGAATATATTATTATTGTTATATGGTTAAGGCAGCACAAAATTTAAAAATATTTTATTGCAACCTATTTCATGTCACTTGTTTGGCTCATGGTATTAATAGAGCAGCAGAAAGTATAAGTATTCCATTGGTAAATCATTTAATTAATGAAGTAAAAAAAGTATTTCGAAAAGCACATTCAATTTCTCAATTTTATGAGGAAACTGTAGATGTTTTGATGTGATAATCACAAAATTATGATTGCTTTCTGGAACCACAAATTGATATTATCTGAACCTATCCACAGTATTTCTGAATCATTAATTGTATTTTAAATTTATTAATAATTACTGTAATATGTTTGTGTCTTAGATATGACGTTTCCAAATTTGCTGTGTGATTATCGATGTGTGTATTTATGAATAAAAATTGTTATTTTTCTTTCTTTTTTTATTCTTAATAATATTAATGTTCATGTTGATTTTATATAATAAAAACAAATGTTTCCACGGAATAAATGACTTTAAACTCGCAAGCTATGAGGCGCTTGCTGATGCGGAAGGCGATCTCAATGGCGCTCCGATAAAGGTGCGTTTATTATCTTGTTGTACTTTTAATTCTTCTGCGGAAAACCGGAATCACCTACATTTCAAACCGATTTGAATTTTTGCAATTTCCTCGTCTTGCTACTTGACCGTATGAACTTTGTGATTTTATTCTTCTCGTTAGTTATGTTCCTTATTTCAAAAATTGAACTGAGGTGACTTTTACTAGGCGAAAATCCATTTAATAAAATAAATAAGAACTAAAAGTTCAGATTTTCACGAAATTATATAGATTCACATGACAATTGTTCGAACAACAGCGTGTCGTTATCAAATGTAATATTTACAAACTACCTGCTACTATATATACCGAAATATGACAATAAATCCTTAATTAATGTTGTGAGAATTTAAGTTTAATAATGGAGAGGTATTTAAATTTATTGACATTTGAATGTCTCATTTTGTTAATCTCCGTGGCTTCCAATAAATTTAATTTTCTACTTTTCGTGGCTGTATGTAAAATATCAATTTGTCGTCAAAAATGTGTTTTTCTGTGTTTAAGTGTGCAGCATAATTAGAATCTAGACTATTGTTTTTAAACGCTCTTTTATGTTTTTTAATGCGTTTCTTGAAGGATCTACCTGTTTGTGCAATATACATTTTAGGACAAGATCTGCATTGCAACCAGATTTTTGAGATTGAACTTTTGATGAAACTTTTTCACTGGGTTCTCCTATGTATGTAATTGTTTTAAATTGTTCGTGTTCTGTATTAGGTTTCGGATAAATACAGTTTACTGTTGTCTGGATTTGTTTTTTATTTATAATTTTATCGATAATGGACGGGTTGTAGCCGTTTTTCAGTGCAATTTGTTTCTTTCTTGTTCTTTGTTTTAGTTTTCTGTTGAGAGTGGCGTATTAAGAAGTCTGTGTATAAACCAGTGAACAGTATAAGTGTGATTTGAGCTGTTATATACGACTGTGACCGCGGGTGAATATGTATGGTAAATGGAAAAATATA